TACGACGCGGGCGCGGATGTGGCGATGGAGGAGGCGAATGGGGAGAAGAAGAAGAAGAAGAAAAAGGTGAGGGAGCACGCTTGTGGTTGTGTGTGGCGATGGATCCGGGCGATTGGCGCCGCATGTCGCAGCCTGGGTCTGGCGCTCCTGCCCCTGGCCTTGCCCCGCCAGCATGGCAGGCCCCTTGCTCGTGCCGCTGCCCTCACTCTTGCCAGCCTTGCACGCTGCTGCAGAAGGACAAGGAGGCGGCGGCAGCGGCAGAGGAGCCGCCGGCGGCGGCAGCAGCAGCAGCAGATGGCGTCGAGGAGAAGAAGAAGAAGGTGAGGGCGCGCGTGGTGGTGGCGTGGGGACCCGGATGCTGGCTGGCAGCAGCCCTGCTGCGGCTCCCGCACATGTCTCATGCGCGTGCGGTGCGGCTCCTTGCCTGCCCTCTGCAGAAGAAGAAGCGGGAGCGGGAGGCGGAAGCCCCCGAGGCAGCGGCGCCAGCGGATGGAGAGAAGAAGAAGAAGAAGAAGAAAAAGGACAAGGGAGATGCCTGAGCTGGGCGTTCCGCGAGCTCCAGCCGTGCTCGCCTGCCGTACAGACCACATGCACTGAGCGCACCATTCCGGCGTTGTTTTCCTCCCTCCTAATTTTTTGCCTGTTCTTCCCACTTTATTCCGTCTGTGACCAAGAAGGCCCCTGTCTTCAGCCCTTGAGACTCATCTATGCAAGACACCTGTGAAGGGCATGTCGGCAGTCAGCAGCGCAGAATTGTGCGCAGTTTCCAAGGAGGTGCAGCCCTCCTGCTGGCTGTTGCGGTCCACGCCACCACCACCACAACGCACATCTGCTCTTCTGCCTTGAGATCAAGTCTGCCAGGATTACATGCTAGGGCAGCCACGTCTGGGCAGGATGCAAGCCTGACATGTCGTCTGCACAAGGTGCCCTTGCCACCGCCGCCGCCTGGGGAGCATTCGCGGCCGTATGCCTGCGCCCCATCTCTCGCTCCAGCCCCACCCCTCAGCGTCCTGGTCAATGCAGCGGGTGGAGGACAGGGGCGGAACCAGTAGCAGCAGCAGGAGGTGTGGCGCTGCCGGTTTGCGCCAGCCGGTGGCTCCTCCACTCCCAGCCCCGCCCTGCGCCGGAGTCGCAGCGCTCCAGAGTGCGTGTGGCGTGTGGCGTTACAAGCAGGTGTGCATCAGCCAAAGTTCAGCGAACTTGATGGCTTTAGCAAGGCAGAAGAGGGCGGGCCGTGCGTGTGCGTGTCGAGGCCCGTGGGCATGCGATACGTGGCGGCGGCGCCTGCTACGGCCGTGCGTGAAGCTGTCAAGCCGTGCTGCTGCCACTCCTCACTTGAGCTTCTTCTTGGCTGCAAGAGAGAGGTGAAATTGAGGATAGGAGAATAAGAAGGAGGTCAGGCGGCACCAGGCGGCGGCAGGCAGCGGCAATACGGCATCGCCCCCATTTCCGCAACCAAGCCAATCGGCAGACTCACGGCGCAGCTGGCTGCAAGCAGGCAGGGAAGGGGAGGGGGAGGGAAGGGGGGAGGGGAGGGGATTAGCGGTGGGGTGTGTTGGGCGGCGGCTGGGAAAGCGGTGCCGGCGCGAGCGCAGCCAAGCAAGCTCCACTGTACACCGCTCAAAATCAACCCCCCACAACCTGCTGTGGCCGCAGCTCTTCTTTCTGCAGGCAGGGAAGCAAGCCAAAACACGTGCAGATCAGTGCCAGGCCAACCCTGCCCATGCACCAGCCAGCCGGCGCCGCCACCGGCCATGCGCGCCGCATAACATGCACCCCGTGCATAACATGCACCCCGCCCCCTTCGCTCCTCACCGGCAGTTGACGGCGCGCGGGTGCAGGCGGGCGTAGCACCTGGAGAGCAGGGCACAGAGCACAGTGTCAGCACCAACCACCACCACCACCACATGCTGGCCGGGGCGCTGGCCGCGACAAAACATGTCTCTCCAAAGAATGACCCCACGGCCGTGGGGATGGCAGCCGTGAGGCAAAGTGAGGAGATGGTGATGTGGGGTGCATATTCATCTCAAGAGCGGCAAAGAGAAACCTCTCGAGCCAAACTTTGGTCACCCGTTGCAGCGGCCGCATGGCGCGGCGCCCGCCGCATGCAGCCAGCCAGCCAGGCCACACCCACACCCCAGCCTCACTTGCGGCAGATCATCTTGTCCTGGTTGTACTTGCGGGCCAGGATCTGCAGGGAGGGCTCAATGATGCCGCCGCGCAGGCGCAGCACCAGGTGCAGGGTGGACTCCTTCTGGATGTTGTAGTCGGCCAGGGTGCGGCCGTCCTCCAGCTGCTTGCCCGCGAAGATCAGGCGCTGCTGGTCGGGCGGGATGCCTGCGGGCAGCGACACCAAGGCCAGGCAGGGCGCTCAGCAGCCAGCGCTGCAGCAGCTGCGCCGGCGGCGCGGCGGTGGCGGCCCAGGCGCCGTCGTCCTCCATCCGCTGCTCACCCTCCTTGTCCTGAATCTTGGCCTTCACATTCTCGATGGTGTCCGAAGACTCCACCTCGAGGGTGATCGTCTTGCCCGTGAGGGTCTTGACGAAAATCTGCATGGTGACGCTCTGCAGAGGGGGCGGCGGGAGGGCCCAGGGAGTCGGTGAGACCACGCTGCCATCTCCTGGCCCGCCTCCTGGGGGCCAGGCTGCCGCCGCTGGACTTGCATGGCCGCAGCATGCTGCTCTGCCGCTGCAGCCGGCCTCCGGAGCAGCCTCACCTCTCTCGCCAACCAGCAGGACAGAGGGCGCTGCAGGCGGGCTGGCCGCCCATGTGCGTCTGCGGACCCAGGCGCCTTCTTCCCGCGACCGCCCATGCGCTGGTCACACGGCTACCCAACCCAAATTTGATCTTGCACAGAGCAGCTGAGCGCCATCGCGGCTCAGCTGCAAGTTGGGCGGCTTGAGACTGTGACACATGCGTGGCGAATTGTGTGTGAGCAGCCTTCAATACGTGTGAATCCCACATTGTCTGCAATGGCAAACCGTGGATCGAGTTGTGCAGTGGCCTTTGGGAGGTCACTCCTGCCGGCGCCCTGCGGCGGGCGGCGGGCGGCTGGCGAGCAACCAACGACAAGCTCCTCCGCTCAGCAGCTCTGTTGCAGATGGACCTGCGTCGAGTATTGATGCGCAGCTCAGCGTTGAGTGGGGCAGCTGATGGCTGCCTCTCTGTGCTCCCCAGACAGCCCGTATTGACCAGTGGCGGCGGCCTAGTTTCATGCGCCGACACCACTCACAGCGCTGTGCCTGCTAGTGTCTGCCTCCGCAGCAGCACCACAAAGCAGCTGGAGTGAACCGCAGCATAGAGTGGAACAGGTTTGCTGGGCACGTGGCCAGTTCAGGCTGAAAGTCCTATTAAGTGCGTGGGGCGGAGACTGCTGTCAGGCTACCAGCTCGGCCCCTTGGTGGCTGGGTTTATAACAAGGCAATGGGTTGGTCGTGTGTTTCCCTAGCATGTACAACAAGTTATTTGCTGCACGTGGCAGCAGCATCGATGCATCACGGAACCCTCAGTCGATCAGAATGCAACACCAGTGGCAAGGATCGCAGGTTTGAAATGCCACACACGAGAATGGCCAGTCAATTCATCGTAGAACGTGAATGCAGCGGCAGTTTTCTTCAGCGGCCATGCCAGGAACCACCCAAAACGGCGCTGGGAATGTGCACCAGTGATGGGGGCGGCGTAAAAGCAGTGGCGACATCCGCACGCTGCCGCAGCGGCGGCCTCTGCCACCCGCCAACCACCTTCCTACCGAATTATGGCGCGGTGGTGGCCGGGAGGGGCGAGAATGCCGCCCTTCACATCTACATGTGCTCTCCCACCGCAGTTCGGGGACCTGCAGCGACTCCCAGCTGCCGCGCCAGCTGCCACCCCACGAGACCGGCTCCGCACGGAACCAACCCAAACCCTGCAGCTGCAGCAGGCACCGTAGCTATTCCCTGTCCCTCACTGACCACCCACAGATCACTGCCCGCTCGCCGCTGCGCGTTGCAAGGGCAAGGGCAAGGGCAGAGGGAGGTGCCAGCACACTCGCGCCGGCCACGCCCCGGCGTTTGCCCAGGGACTCCAGGTTCAAAATTGGATGCCGGGAGACGCACTTCCTGGATCAACGCGCATTGGGATTGAACACGCGCCCTGAGCGGGACACTGGACCAGGGGTGACTTGGAAAGGAATCAAAATCGCTGTGACCACGGCGGGAGGGCCAATTTTCGGCCCACATGCCTCCCCACCACATCCTCAGTCTCCTGCAAGCGTCAGCAGCGGCTGGGAGGGCGCAGCCAAGCGTTTCAGTCTGGCCGCCACCCTTCTGGGGCCCGCACGCTGATGGATACGAGCGGCGGTAGACATGGATCCCCAGCAGAACAACGCAGCGCAGCCGGTCGACTCTCTGGGCCTCCCAGGCCTGCAGGTGCGCGCTCATGCGGTCTGGGCCCCCAATGCACGACCTGCGGCCTCCCCTTGTCTGCAGGGTGCATGGTGGCGCGGTAATGGCGGCAGCGCCGGCCTCCGGGCCCAGCCATGCGCCGCGCACTCGCGGTGTCATGGTCGCCTCGCTTAGCCTTCCGGCCAGCCCCCTGCTGCAGGGCAACGCACATGAGCTGGACCAGTTGATGCAGGAGGGCATCAGGGACGTCCTAGGCGGCAGCCAGGGCTCCCTGCTGCCCATACCAGGCCTGCCGGGTGCGCGCCGCCCGCCCGCTGCGTCCCCTGCCACCCCCTTGCGTGCCCCCGCACGCGTCCACGCCTGGGCCACGCTGGCGCCTCTCCTCGACCCCCTCGTCCTCACCCCACGCTGTGCACGTGCAGAGGGCGGGCAGCTGCCGATTGTGGACCAGCAAGGCCACCTGCAGCTGGGCAGCCTGGAGCTGCCGCCGCTGCTGCCGGGCGAGCCCGATGTGGCCAGCCAGGTGCGGGACACCAGCTGCAGCGCGCCGCGCCGCCAGGCGCCCCCCTCGGCACCCATGTCTGAGGATGAGGTGGACCAGGACGAGGAGGAAGAGGAGGAAGAGGAGGAGCCAGGAGGCGGCGGCGTCACGCCGGGCGGGGACGCCGGCAACGAGACGGGCAGCTCGGGGCGCCCCGGCCGCGGCGTGAAGCGCAAGAAGGCTGGCAAGGGTGCCAAGCGCGGCGCTGCACCGGTGAGCTGACATGGCGCCCCTGATGGGTGCTGCTGCACCTGGCGCCCTGATGGGTGCTGCCCTCCCTGGCTGCTGGGCCGCCGCTGCGCTTGGGAGCAGCCGGCATAGCCTGTTGGGGCGGCATGTTTCGGGGCCAGTGAGCCGCTCGTGGGGGGGCATGGCTGTTGGGAGGCCCACCGGCTGGGCTGGCTGTGCGTGTGCAGGGCATGCAAGGGCGGTTCAGCGGGCGGCTGGGCACCAAGGAGGACGAGAAGCGGCTGGCGGCCGAGTGCCGCCTGGTGGGGCCGCTGCTGGGGGGCGCGTCGCGCGGCGAGAAGTCGCTGCACACGCTGGCCAAGCTGGTGCGGGCCATTGCGGCGGGGTCGGTGCGCGCGCACCTGGAGGCGCAGGAGGCAGAGTGCCAGGTGGGCCATGGGCTGGGTGCAGGGGGCGGCGTGTTGGTGGGCACGGAGCGGGGCAGGCTGATTGCGAGGGCCGTGGCGCCCCCTGCAAGCTGCCCCGGCATCGGTCCATCCTCCCGCATGCCCCCAGCCTGCGTCGACTCGGTGTGCCCGCGTGCCTGCCCCCCCTCAGGACCTGCGCGCCAAGCTGCTGCTGCTCTCGGACGGCGACGGCCAGCAGCTGATCCGGGTGCAGGACGAGAACACGCAGCTGCGGCGGGAGCTGTCGGGGCAGCAGCGGCGCGTGGCGGAGCTGGAGCAGCAGCTGGCCAACGCCAACGCCAAGATGCAGCAGGCGCTCAACCAGAGCGCGGTCATGGCGGGTGAGTGTGCATGCCAGCGTGCAGTGCGCTGATCGTCTAGCCAGCCTGCCAGGGTGTCTTTGCACCGTGCTAATCATGCCGGCCCATTCTTCAAGGCCGGCTGCCACCACTCTTCCTTTGATGGGCCACGCAGCTACCCTTGTGCTTCCTCCGCCCCTGACCACGCCCCCCCCACCCTGCCGCAGGCCGCGCCTCAGCCGAGCAGGCCATGCACCGCGTCGGCTCGCTGCCGGTGCTCCCCGTCAGCGGATCCATGGCGTTTGCGGGGGCGGCGGGTGGCGGAGTGCCTCTGCCGGTGCCGACGGCGGCGCTCACGGCAGCAGTCAGCCTGCCGTCAGCCGCACCAGCGCAGCCCCAGTTCATGCTGGCGTCGGCGCCTGTGGCTGCCATGACGGCGGCGCAGCTGGCGCCCGCGCCGTCGGCGGGCATGGCGGGGGTGGCCACCACCGCGGCGCAGCTGGCTGCTTCCATGCAGCCCTCGGGGCTGGCGCTGCCGGATCCGGCGGCAGTGGCGGCGCAGCAGCAGGTGCAGGTGCTGTCGGGCATGCAGCCGGCGGGGCAGGTGGTGGTCAGCATGGCGCCGGCGCCCTCGGCACCGGTGGTCCAGCAGCTGTTGGTGCAGGCAGCCAGCGGCGGCCTGCAGCCCATGGCGCAGCCCACGGTGACCAACCTGTCTGGCGGGGGCCTGGGGGCGCCCAAGCCCGCCGTGACCACCATGTCGGAGGGGCTGTCGGGGGAGGCGGCGGCGGCGGCGCTGCTGCCGCAGGGCACGCAGACGCAGCTGTCGGGGCCCGGCGACTCGGGGCCGGCGGCGGCCGCTGCCGACCAGGCCGCCCAGAACCTCAACCAGCAGGCGCAGCACCTGACGGTGCAGGCCTCGCTGCACGGCCAGGTGCGCGGGCAGGGGCCGCGGCGCAGAGTGCGTGTGCGTCGCGCACTGCTGCTCCCTGTGCGCATCCCAGCCCATGCTCCAGCCTCACCAGTGCTGCAACTCTCCCTGCCCCTCACACCCTGCCGCCTGCCCGCCCGCAGGCCAAGTCGCACGCCACCAGCCAGGCGCAGCAGCTGGCCTCCCAGGCGCAGCTGCATGCCCAGGCGTCGGTGCAGGCGGCGGTGCAAGCGGAGCAGCTGAAGCAGACCCTGGCTGGTGAGTGCAGCAGCAATGCCCAGCGCTGAGCTGGCGCCGACGGCCCGGCGGGACCGCCGACAGTGAGGCCAGCCCCACACAGCACCTGGAGAGGCCTGCCGACCTCTTGCCTCACCCCTGTCCACCCCACCCCCTCCCCGTCCCGTGCAGCCGCCGTGCTGCCAGACACGCAGCAGGCGCAGCAGGCGGTGGCAACCGTGCAGAACCTGGAGGAGCGGGCCAAGGCGCACGCAGACATAACCACGCAGGTGGGGGGTTGGCGGGGGCGGCTCAGCTTGGACCCGGGGGGGCGCACAAGTGGGGCGAGGCCGCGTCCCTGTTTGCACACGCGCGGCTGCCGATGGCGCCCCTCCGCAGCGCCCGTTGCACCGTCAAATCAGCTCTGTGCCGTGTTGGCCGTGCCACTGACAGTCCTCCCGCCCCCACCTGCTTCCCCCCCGTCTCCGTGCGCCCCGCAGGCGGTGGCCCAGGCGCGGGAGCTGCAGGAGAAGGCGCAGGTGCATGCCACGGAGCAGGCCAAGGCTATGGCTCAGGCCAACATGCTGCAGGCGCACGCCCAGTCGCTGCACGCCTCCGCGCAGCAGCTGGAGGCGTCGGCGCAGCAGACCACCTCGGCGCCCGCCTCCGCCGCCGTGTCTGGGGAGCAGCTGATGGCGGCGGCGGCGGCGGCGGGCGGGCCCATGCAGGCCTCTGGCCAGATCCCCGCCCTGCAGCCCGTCATGTTGGCGGCGGCGGCCTCGGGTGGCGCGCCGACCGTCACGCCGCCCCAGCAGCAGCAGCAGCAGCAGCCGCGGCAGCAGCAGCAGCAGCAGCAGCAGCAGCCGACAGCTAGCGTCAACCGGGCAGACACCGGGGCCGCTGTCGAGATGGCGCCCCTGGCGGTGCCCGCAGCGCCAGCCGACGCGGCGGCGGCGGCGGGCCAGCAGCACTTGCAGCAGGCGGTGCTGGCCCCCGCGCCGCCTGCGCAGGCGGCGGGTGCCGCGGCCGCGGCGCCCGCCGGCGCGCCCACGCTGGTCCCGGCGCAGCTGCCAGACGGCCAGGTGGTTCAGGTAGTGATGCCGGCACAGATGGTGACGCAGGCATCTGGCCCCATGCTGGCCCAGGCCTCTGGCCCGCTGCCCGCGCAGATCGTGGGGCAGGCCCCGGGGCCCATGGCGCCCTCGGCCTCTGGCCCGCTGCCCCAGCAGCCGCTGATGCAGCCCAGCCTGGCGGCCGCCGCCACCATGCCCGCGGCACCCAGCGCCGCGGTCGCCATGCCGCCGCCGCCCGCGCCCGGCGCCGACCCGGCCGTCATCCAGCAGTCGGCGTCAGCGCAGCACACCGCCCACCTCCAGGAGCAGCTGGCTGTGCTGCAGCATGCGCAGGCGCAGTCGCAGGCGGTGGTGCAGCAGGCGGCGGCCGCGGCTGCGCAGCACCAGGCCGCGGCCGCTGCGGTGCAGGAGAGGCTAGCAGAGGTGGAGAAGCAGGCGGCGGCGCAGGCGGCCGTGCAGGCGGCAGCGCAGGCTGCCCAGACCGTGGCGGCGGCTCAGCAGGCGGTTGCTCAGGCCCAGATGGAGCAGCACGCCGCCCAGCAGCAGCTCAACTATGCGGTGGCAGCCGCGGGGGGGGCGGCCGCCGTGGTGGCCCACCAGCAGGCGGTGCAGCAGCAGGCGGTGGTGGTGGCGCAGGACCAGCTCAGCATGGCGGCCGCCGTGGCGGCGCAGCAGCAGCAGCAGGCCGCCGCCGCAGCAGCTGTGCAGCAGCAACAGCAGCAGCAGCAGATGCTGGCGGCCCCACAGGCGATGCAGGTGGATCTGGTGCAGCAGGCCGGGCAGGCGCAGCAAGCTGCGCAGCAGCAGCAGCAGCAGCCGCCGCCGCAGCCGCAGCAGCAGCAGCAGCAGGCATTCATGCAGGCGGGTGGGGGCGCTACCCCGGTGCCCGCCGCTGCGTCTGCCATTCTGCAGCCCACGCCGCAGAGCTTGCAGAAGGTCCCGAGCCACCACTTCGAGGGTGAGTGAGGCAGGGCTGGCTGCGTCCACCTGAGCTCCACACTGCCCCGTCAGTCAGCCTGCCCCCCTGCCGTCTCCTCCTGCTCACCTCTTGCACACCGCACCCACGCCCCGGCCTGCCTGCTTTGCTGCCGCAGGCGCTGCGGTGAAGATGGAGCCGCTGGGGTCGTCCGGCATGCCTGCCAGCAGCGGCAACGCGCTGATGGAGGCAATGGCGTTGAGCGGCAGCCGCGGCACCGCGGTGCGTGGCGTTCCGTGTGTGTCGGCTGCTGCTACGGGCGCATGCGACGACTGCTGCCCCGTGTCCACGCCTCTGCGGCGCTCAGCCCCTCACCTGCCAGCGCCGCCCTCCCCTGCCCCTCCCCCTGCGCCCTGCAGCCGTCCGCGCCTGCGCCCGCCCCGCCGGCAGGCCAGGCGGCGCCCCCCGGCGGCGTGTCGGGCTCCACCGGCCTCACGCTTGCCTCGGTCTCCACCGGCCTCACGCCGCAGGTCGGCACGCTGGACCTGCCGCCCGGCATCGAGGCCATAGTGCCCAGCGACCAGCCGCTGACGGGCGACCCGGCGGCGCTGCAGGCTGCGGCGGCCATGGGCCCCGTGGTGGCGCTGCCGCCCTCCTCGGGCATGCCGCAGCAGTCGGCGGGGCTGTCGGTGCTCAGCATGCCGCACTCCGCCTCCGAGGGGCTGCCCGTGGCCTCTGGCAGCACCATGTGAGCCGCCGGCGGCAGCCTCGTCATCAGCTCGATGTTCTTCGGCACTGTTCTTCTTTCCTCGTCTTCTTCTCCCCGCCCCCTTTGCGATCTGACTCCCTGGGCCGGGTCGCACCCACACGCCAGCCCCCATCCTCCTCCGTCTCTGCTGCCTGCTGTTGAAGCCGTCAACGGCCTGACACTGGCAGGGCAGGTACCCCTGGCTCGTCCCTGGTGTGGACCCACCCCCGACCTACCCCCCTTATACCATCCCCAGTCTGACCCGCTGCACCGCCCTCCTCTGCTGTTCGTCTTGCACTGCCCCCAATCCCCCTTGGAAACACGCGCCTTGCATGCGTGTGGCTCTGCCCTCCGCCGCAATTCCGCCCTCCCATCCGCATTTTCCTCCCCGCACTGTACACTATGGCTGGCGGGGTGCAGGGGCGATCGCTCCTGGACCCCCGCCGCCTGTGCGCGCGCCCCCCCATTCACTGCACACCACCTTTGCTGTGCGCATTCTTCCAATTCCTTTCATGAGATCAAACTGCTCCTGGCTGTCAAAGCGCAGCGGAGTTTTCCATGCCTACCCCCCGTCTCGCCGTGCCCCTCCCCTGCATCCTCTGTGATTCAAGGTTCGTCTCCACCCCCGGGTTTTGGGTCCCCCTAGTCCAACTTGTGTAGGTGTGCAGAATGTAGGAATGATACCATCCCAGTCTTTAAATTTCTTCAGCCCCAAGCTACTACAACTTGTATAGTCTACAAGGAGGCTGCGCCGGCGCCAGCTGGCTGCATGCTGCAGGGCTGGGGTTGACCCGGGGCTGGCCCAACGGCAACATGCCTGTTCGGCATCCAAAGCTTTTTGCCACGCGGTTGAGCTCCTCTCGCGCGCTGGTCGCACCGCCACGTCGTGCAAAGGCGGAGGGAGAGTAGGAGGCCCACGCGTGTCCGCTCGGGTGAGCGCGTGCGGTCGCTTGGGCCCGTTGCTGCGCCTTGTCATGCAGCACGATCACGTTCGGCTGCCGTGCCGCGGAAAACCCCTAGGGCACCCAAGATGTCATGCTGCAACAATAGATCCTCTCAATTGACGTTGCAGGAGGGATCCACGAGCTGGCCGTAGCTGGGTTGAGGGCGGCAGCACGCATGGGAGGCGGCCGAGGGCGCCGCCCCCGCCAGCGCCACCTGGCCCACCTGGTCCTGCTGGCAGGTCTGGTGGGCGCGGCCCCGCGGGCGGCTGCTGCTCCCTTTGACCCAGACTGGGCCCAAGATGCATACGCCGGAGCGCAGCCCGCCACCGGCCACCGCGCGGGGCAGGTGGCGGCGCGGGAGGCGGCCGTTGCGGCGCAGCTGCTGCAGGCCATGGTGGCGGCCTCTGGCGGCGGCGACGGCGTCATCGCCTCGGCGCCGCCACCCAACCTGGACGGCGTCGACGTGGGCAGCCTGGCCAGCCGCCTGGTGGCGGCGGCTGTGGCCGGCTTCCAGACCTCCGTCATCTACGCACAGGCCAACAGGGGGCTGCGCCCGCAGCGCCTACTGGGGGGCGGCCGCACCCACTACTACCAGATGCCGCAGGGCAGCCCGCGCGGCACCGTCGTGTCCTTCCCCGGATGTGCCCGTGCCGCCAGGGGCCACTGGCCCTACGACCCAGTGTACTGCAAAGAGTGCTTCGGTGAGGCTTGCGCGGGCCAGGCGGGGGATGTGTGTGTGGAGAGCCTGCATGGAAGGAGTGGTGGGCTTTGCGCTTTGCAGCTGCTTCGGACAGCACTGCAGGAAGGCAGCGCCCGACCGTCCACGCGGTCCCTCACACTCCCCCACCGCGGCACATTGCTGCGGCACCCTGCGCCTGCAGGCCTGCCTGAGGAGCTGTCCCTGACCAAGCAGGCGCTGAAGCGCGGCTACGCCCTGCTGGCGCTGTCCCCGAAGGACCAGAAGCACCTGTGCTGGAGCTCCGGCACCGACATCTCCGCCAACGATCAGTCCCAGGCGAGGCCGCCCGCCAGCCTGGCGCAGTGAAGCCAGCAGGCCGCCAGGTGGCAGCCCCTGCGCCACCAGCTGGGCGCCCCGTGCATGCCGTGGCCACCCCCAGCCTCACCAGCTGCCCGTGCTGCACACCATTGCCACCCTCTGCCGGCCAAGCTCTCCCTCCCCTGCTGCTGCAGGTGCTGGGCATCATCGCAGACTTCCTGCTGGCGCGCAACCTGCAGGGCCTGCCGGTGTACACGGTGGGCGTGTCCAGCGGCGCCACCTTTGCCCTCAAGCAGCCTCGATACCTCTACGACTC